AGACACTCCTAAGGAGCCTGTCATGATATGCTGCTACAGAAGAAACACAGAAAAAGTGCCTGCCATAACTTTTTTTTGCAGCATAGGATAAAGAGTTTATATGATTTATCCTGCCTCAAGTGTTTTATTGTAGTTTTGTGAGATGAGTATTGCATAATTATATCCAGTTTTGGAAAATGGGTGTGGATGCAACTAACGGACACATTATTTAATAACGGTAACATTTTATAACCCATTTAAGGGTTTAGCCTGCCCTAAATGACTTTTTGGATAGCTTTAATCACCCACCAACTCCTTGTTTTAAAGAATTTGCTTTGCTTTACTGCTTGTTGGGTCATAAGCAACTAACACACATAGTAGATGTGCATGGGTCAATAGTTTTTAAATGGAAATTATAAAATTTGACAAATGCCTTATTTAGCTTTTATAAACCATATCACCATATCACTTTTGTTTTCTATGGAAGTCAGTATAAAGTTATGTCCTCCATGCTGTGTTACTGATGATTGTGCAATAGTGGCCCAGTTCGGTTAGTCATTGTCCTATCCGCATCTCCGCTCTAATGGCACACTTTACTTCATGGTTCCAATTTGCAGTGTGAAGGTTCAGTAAATCATAAGATTGCCAGTTCACAAGTTGGACATGCGTGGAGGATGTGTTCAGCCTGCAGATAGCAATTGCCCATTTACTGTAGTCCAGACTTTAGCTCCGACTCTGAAAGCCCCTTTCAGAGCGGATCCTCTATGTAAGAGGACGAATATGCATCACAATGCTTCTTTTCAATGCTTTTTTTTTTCTTTGAAAAGGGCAAATTTGAAACAAGGATGTAAAAAGAAGTAAAAGAAGCTCTCAATAGACCAACCTGTGAACAGACAAATGAATTTGGCTTCCCATGTCTTTCTTTATTAGCCATGTACCACTGAGTTGCAACAGAGCTATGCAGAGGTTGTATGTGACACACATTAACCCATCATTTCAATCAGTCTAGAGCAGCTTAAGTCTTGAACACTTTGAGCTGACCCATGCATAGAAATGTGGGGGCTTGACTACCAGCTACTTGATTTTTATCTATTGTTTTAAATTGAATAGTCTTTACATTTGGGTTGATGAATATGTACATTTTTCTGTTTGCTTAGTATAATATTACCCTTTGTATCAGCTTGTAGTATTCCTGGACAAGCAATCTCATAATGGCTTCAAACTAAAGGAAAACTATGATATATGTTCTAGAATACATTTTGAGATATTATTTTTATCTTTTTAGACTGTAAGCTCTCATGGGCAGGGCCCTCCTAACCATATTGTATTGCAACTGTAATGTCTTCGCTATTTTGTAAAGCGCTGCACAAACTGTGGTCACTGTATAAATCCTGTATAATAATAATAATAATAATAATAAT